AATTGATTAATGGTGATTTTCTCAACTTGGAAAGTATTCAAGCATTCAATGGACCTTTTATTATTTATATTATTTTATTTATAACCTATTATTATTATGTGTGGGTAATCTACAATTAGAATTACAGTCTAAGACATGGAAATTGTAACAATTAAATCCTAACCAAGAACCTAAGAATTATCAAGATAGCATCTAAGAATATAGGCAGCTACAAGCAGAGTTTTCTTTTTTTGAAAAATTATCATTACAAACCAAATATATTAGCCAGATTTTTAACACATAGCAAGCTAAGTGTCATGGCATGTAATATTTGGCCATTATAATTGGAGCAGGCTAAGTTTGGAGAATGGAAGACTTTATCCATGTTTTTAAGAAAATATCAGCTAACATCAGCAAACATAATAAAATAAACCAAAGGTAGAAAATCCTGATGTTATGGTTCTAAAACTAGCATTTTTTAGCTGTGTTGGAACTGCAGCTTTTGAAATTACAAGCCTAAAGCTAAAAACTCTGGGAATTACAGTATAGCCTACCATATATTGGCAGTGCCAAGGTAGAAGAATAAAATATTTTTTCTATATTGTAAGCACCATCCAGCAAAAATAAATCTTTTGACATGCCATTGTTGTTGTCTTATCAAAAGACATTTAGTGTAATGTTGAATTTTGCATTTGAAATCACTAGAATTTGAAGTGCCCAACTTTGGCTATATTATATCTGTTTTCTTAAGGATGAATTATTCTTGTGTTATCAATATTCTGTTTACACGGAATCATAGGAAACAGTTATGTGCTGATTCTAAATCTGCTAATTAACCAATTAACTTTCTAATCTGAGAATTCTCAAATGATTTTATGTGGAGTCAAAATAACAGGTGTAACTGAGGAAGATACATAGATTTTCATAAACATTGAGTCTGAACATCTGCTTCAGTGAAAAATTCATCTCATTTATGAAGAAAATGGGGTATAAATCACCTGATAACTGTCAGAAATGTCTTCAAAGTATTGTCTAGGCATGTTCCAAGCTAAAGTTAATGGGACTTGCATCTGCACACACTTCTGAAAATTAAGGGGTGTGATTGTTCTGACCATTAAATACTTTAATGTTTTGTACAATTTCAGTTGCTGCTAATCGTAAATTTGCAGATCACATATAGATTTTCTGACAGGATTGCAATGCATGCTGCGATGCTTTTCTGCTTCGTATACTTGCAATTCTTTTAAAGGCATATTTTCTTTTAAAGGTTCCAGATGTGATGTTAATTTCCCCATGCCGCATAAAGACATTCTGATTTAAACATTAGGTGAAAATAGCAAGTGTATACTATAGATTATGCTATAAATTTAAAAGAACCTTTACTAGGCTACTTTCTTTCATAGGACAATTCACAATAATATTAATACTTCCTAGTGATAATTGTATCAGTCTTGATGGGAGTGGAAACAATAATAATAAAAAACAAATAATTACAAAAGAAACATACCATACAGGTAAATGGTATATGGAAATGCCCTTGGGAGACTGCACAACGATATGCTGCCTAGAGAACATTCAGATAATAGGGAACATGGCCACAGCTATATAGTGGGTGGAGCAAGAGTATCAGGAAAGGGCCACCTCCCCAAGTTCTTGGGCTCTAAATGTCATGCGGAAGAATTGTTGTTTCAGATTTCCAAGATTCTGCTAATGTAGCTTTACAATAAAGTAGAATTAGCTTATCTGGCCTTGAGTCCTGTCTGATCTACCTGATAAAGCTGACAGTTTGTTTCTACAGTCACTGTTTGAGCTACAGTTGTTGTTGCACCTGAACTTACTGTTCTGGAATGAAAATAACTGATACAAGGACTGGGACTGCCTCCACATAGATTTGTTCAGTCCTTGAACAAAGAACTTCATTGTTTCTTTAAAAATATAACTTTTACACTGATGGAAATCCTTGTGTTGGGTTACAAATGCCTTCATCGCTCAGCCTTCATCACTCAGTTTGAGTTTGGTTGTGGAAGCTGAAGACATTGAAAGAACAAAGATTTTCCATTCCTGATTTAATTTCACAGTGGAAAATCTTTAGTTGGCACATTCTGATTCCATGGAAAAATCAGTGTTAGCTCAGTGGTGCAAGTAGACCATGTTATTCCTTCACTTAGAATTGGAGATGATTCATTAAAAATTAGTCTCCAGTAGTTAAACTTCATGGCTGCTAGCCTCATTTTCAATTTATATGTTACAACGCACCAATAGATACTTAGAGGAATGTACACATTGGCTTTATTGATTAGTATAGATTCAGAATCAGGAGATTCAGAAGAAACTGGAGAAGTTCCAGTTGTTAAGTTTTTCAGAAAATGAATCTCTTGAATTGATGGACATAAAAAAAAAATCACAGGGTTGTTGTTATGACAAAATAGGAAACAGAACAAGTATTAAGTATATTGGTTGCTTTGATTTATTTATAAAAAATAAAGAGATTAAAACCTAAAAATAGTTATAAGCAGTATATTAGTTGAACTAGCTTGTCAAGGACAGAATCAAATGATTGTAGCAATATTATAGTAATGTTATATGTTTTAACCAAGAAAGCGTTAACATGGGCAATTTTGCAAACTGTTTTGATTATTTAGCCAAATAGAAAGATGTACTACATAATTAAAATGTGAGATATCACAAATTTTTGTAATTTGTAATTACAAAAAAATTGCAGGCAAATTACAAAATAATAATTATCTGAAACATCTGCAAGCAAACAACCAAGTTCAGAAAAAAGCATAGCAAATATATTTTGGAGCAAATAATTATTTTTTTGGGTTCTAGGTCAACTTTAAACACAGCATATAATTTGAATGTCATACACCAAGGCACCAACAATTGTTCAGTATTGGTAGAAGCAGAACATTTCTGGAACTTGATGGGAATCTGAATATTTATCATGAGTCAGATGATAGATGTCAGATATCTTGGATTATTACATTAATTTAGAACCTAATTCTGGATTACTTCTATTAATGGTGCTTGCTGATGCATAAAGCACGTGTCCAGAAAGGACACGTGCTTTAAAAAAAAATTTCTTCATGTTTCTTGGCAGTCATAGAATATCAAAAAGATTTAATATTTGCTTTCACTGTAGACTTATACGTAGCATGGAACTCCTTATGTTTTTCATTGAATTTTACTGCTAAAAAAATCCATGAATTTGTGTCAGTGAAAATAATATTTGTCAATAGCCTCATTAGATTTTATTAGCCATGGTGATGTAGTGATTAGAATGCAATACTGCAGGACTAACTCACTGCTCACTCCAGGAATTTGATCCTGCACGGCTCAAGGTTGACTCAGCCTTCCATCCTTCCAAGGTCGGTAAAATGAGGACCCAGATTGTTAGGGGCAATATGCTGACTCTGTAAACCGCCTAGAGAGGGCTGTAAAGAACTGTGAAGTGTTACAGAAGTCTTAAGTGATATTGCTATTGCTATTACTTGCACCTATAGAGGGGGGGTGATCCTCCATTTTCTCCATACATTCTATTTTCATGCTGAGTTTTCTCACCTTGAATCCTGTTTGAATCCTACTAAACATGCACATCTCTTTCCTGAAGTTAAAGTAATAATGCCTGAATGTGAACTACTTTTTCTTTTTTAAAAATATTTTTTAAAAAATTTTTTTAAAAATATAAACTTTAATCAATGTGTATTAAAAATACAGGTAGTCCTCAACTTATAACATTGTTTAATGCCCATTCGAAGTTACAACAGCACTGAAAAAAGTGACTTATGATTATTTTTCACACTTAAAACCACTGCAGCATCACCATGTGTCATGTGATTTACATTTGGATACTGGGCAACTGGTTCATATTTATAATGGTTGTAGTGTCCCGGAGCCACGTGATCACTTTTTGCAACCTACTGACAAGCAAAGTCAGTGGGGAAGCCAAATTCATTTAACAACCGTGTTACTTAAGTGAATAACCAGTGATTCACTTAACTTAATGTGGCATGTAAAGTTGTAAAATAGGGCAAAATTCACTTAACAAATTTCTCTCTTAGAAACAAGAATTTTGGGCTCAATTGTTGTCATAAGTCAAGGACTACCTGTAAAGAGATAAAAATAGATCCTGTTCTTGATTAATGCAACTGGAAAAGGCATGATGGACTTACTTTCTACTATTTTTTGAAGCTTTGCTTCTTAAGAAATTTATGTATCCTTGTGGTTGAGGACAAAGTAGCAAGGTGACAAAAATCTGAGTCTCAAATGAATTTCTACTACCCTGTTTCATTCTTAACTGGAGGCAGCATGTTAGACTGCTAGCAATATTAGAATATACCAAGATAAATCTATGTTTTGACATGTAACAGCTCAGAATCTTGGTAACTACTTATTGCAGGCAGCATAGTTTAAGGCATTTTGCATAACATTTGCTTTCTAGAAACAAATAGGCATATAATTACTCTGTAATCGTATAGTAATTAGTGTCTACCATGCCTATATTGCATAATTATATGCCCTGCAAATTATATGGAAATTATGCTTGGATTTAGCTTGCATTTCTTCACACACTGTTGTAGACAAAATAAAAACTTGGGATTTAATGTATAATTATTTCTGTAGTGATGTTAAAATCTAGTAGGATGCTACAACTATTTTTTGCCAATTACAGTTTTTTGGGTTTTGTTTTTGGTTTTTTTGCTGAGATTTAGAGATTGGTCTTCAAAAATCTGTGACTGAATCAAATAATTCCTGATGTTGTGACCTGAGCATCACAACTAAGATTGTAGTCGCCCCAAACAGCGAGCTATATAAATTTGGTACATAAACAGTGGTATATAAATTTGAAAGCAAATAAATAAACAAGCAAACAAATGAACAAACTATGTCTTTATATACTTCCTCTCAAAGGCTACTTTCTGCCTCATGTTTTCTGCAATAATTACGAGTTTCTTGAGTTAAGTTTCAACTTGCTGCAATAATCTTTTCATCTAACTTTTTTCTTTTTCTAAATGCAGCGGAGCCTGTCATTTCAAAAGGGAACAACTGTCTGGATGCTGCAAAAGCCTGTAACCTGAATGATACCTGCAAGAAATATCGATCGGCGTACATAACACCCTGTACCTACAGTGTGTCTAATGAAATCTGCAACAAGCGGAAGTGTCACAAGGCCCTAAGGCAGTTTTTTGACAAAGTTCCCCCCAAGCATAGTTATGGAATGCTCTTCTGTTCCTGCCGAGATATTGCATGTACAGAAAGAAGACGACAGACTATTGTTCCTGCGTGTTCTTATGAGGACAGAGAGAAACCAAACTGCCTGAATTTACAAGATATTTGCAAGACGAATTACATCTGCAGGTAAGATAACACATGACACTTGGATGATTAATGAGGTGGTGCAAGGAACTGCTGAAATTGCCAGAGCTAGAAAACAGTATTTTCATCAGGGAACAGGGCAATTGGGAATGAAAAGTTGTATTCTTTAACAGAATAATAAAAACATCTAGTTACACTTGCATATCACTGAAATATCTATTATCCCTGGAAACACATACTCACTCTCTCTCTCTCTCTCTCCCTCCCTCTCTCTCTCTCTCTCTCTCTGTGTGTGTGTGTGTGTGTGGGTGTGTGGGTGTGTGGGTGTGGGTGTGTTTGTATGCACACACAATATATTTCTAGCAAAAAAGAAAATGAAGTAGTCTAACCTTTCTAAACAATTCTACAACTCTAACTGTTCTTGGCATCTAAATCAACAACTTTTAATTAAGAAATATTGATGAGATGAAAAAATAATAAAGTAGTTGGTATAAGTATAATTAGTTTTTCTAAACAAATTGTGATTGGTTCACAGCTTGGCGTTGGTTCTGATATTTAAAGGAAGAAAAGGGAAGGTATTGAATAGACTGAAATGGTAAAAAAAGACAATTTCCAAGAGAAGATACACATGACTCATTACACATGAACAAAAAAAAATCAAAGAAATCTTGGTATTGTAGGAGATGAAATACTATTTTAAAAAAACACCAAGTGATGGGGTCAGTCCAACTGCAGATCATCCAAAAAGATACAATCTTCTTTAAAACCCAGACTTAAACTATAAATGCAAAATTCCATTTCCTACCAGTATGTAATTTTTATGTTGCAGTATTGCAGATTTTATAGGTTTATTTATTCATTCAATTTTTAAGACAACTCAGTTTGGATGGTTCACCAAAACATCAACCAGTTAGAACGTCAATAAACATGACATCAGTTGTTTTTTTAAACTAATTTGGGAACATTGTAATTTGGAAATTCAATTACATAGAATTAAGTTGAAGCATTAAATAAATATGATAAATAAACAAACTTTTTGGTCTTCTAATAAAGAGGCCATTTCCTCACTAGTGATTTATACTGCCAAGCACTCACCATTATTTCAATATAATAAAAAAAGGTCATAACACAACTATAGTCATATTATGATATAAAGACTTTTTAAATCACTGGTGATATAATGGCCATTATGCCTGATTTTCACACATTTATTATTTAAATCATTTGAAGGGTCTGCATTTCTGTTATGTATAGTTCTTCTGATTAGTACAGCTCTGAAATAATATTTCTAACTGTATGCTTCCTAGCTGTGTAGCTATTTTCATGAAACTGACAACTAGAATATTGGTCAATCAATTCTGTGATTGTTGAAAATAGGAAATCAAATGGTTAACCAAGATTGCCTTCTCTCTGAAACTACAGCATGTATTTCTTTTCAAATGCCATCATTACTCCACCTGCTATCTTCATTCATTTGGACATCCAACTTTCTAAATGCTATTTCATTTTCTCACTTTCCCTCATCTTTCTTGACTTTATGCCTTGCGTTCTCCATCATTGCACTTTCCAGCTCCTTGGTAAAAAAACCAATAACATTATTGCTATTTTTTGAAGCAGGAAGAATATGAAAATAGATTTTTGTGCAGATTACATATTACAGTTCTCTTTTTATTGTAGCTTCTGCTTGTAGGCTTTACCTTAGACAATTTGGCTGTTCAGGTAATTGTTTCACAGCTAGGTCACCTTTGCATGTTCATCACTTGTTTGCTGTAATATTAAATAATGACTTGCATGTGCAAGTCATTATTTAATATTGCTTTATTTATATTGCAATAGTATTGCTTTATTATTTAATAAAGCAAGTTATATCAAAATGGCTGATTACTGGACTTATAATGCTGACATATTTTGCAGGGAAACATTTTTGGACATAGACTGATAAATTCCACTCTTAATGGTTAGACAACTAGCAGATCGAAGTCTTTATTTACTATGCCTTGTTTGTTGTTTTTGTGCCTTTGAGTCGGTGTTGAATTTTGCAGCTGTTGTTACTGTCTCTCTTAATTTTACTTGTAATTTGGGTTATTCTATCTGTTTTAAGAGCTGTTTGAAGCCACTGGAATCATTACTCTTTCTTGTCCTTTCTATATTTATTTCCTGATTTCTTAATAATCGAAATTAAACCTGTACATCAAGAGTACTTTTCAAAAACAGTATTCTGCAGTGAATATAGATACCTTGCAATCCCATATTTGAATTTTTACATTGTCCCTGGAGTTGGCACACAGTGTGAAAACTCTTTGTTAGCTTGAATTCTAGAAGCTATATTTTAAATAGGAAAGTATTAGTTTTCAGAAATATGGAAAAATGATACGTGAATTTATTGTAGAGGCAACATTATTTTGTTTATTCACTTCACAGGTCTTAACCTACAGATCATTTTCTCATCTTATGCCATTTCCCATCCATCAACTCTGATGTGAAGAGCTTCAATGCAGATTTTATTTTTAATCATATTTCTGTGGATTGAATTATTCTATTGATAGGAATATAATATCACCAATTTTCAATCATATCATGTCTTCTCTTATTTTGAGAAACTGATAATCAGTGCTGCTTATTGACACTGGCAATAAGCTTAATCTTGACCTTATAGTCTCATTTAATGACGCAGAGACAATTTATTATGTGGTTCCTAAAAGCCTTTCCAGAACATTGATGACTAGAAAGAGAGTCAAGATAGACAATTTAGAAAGCATGTGAACACTGTTTGCCCATTTCAACGTTGCATGAATATAAATTTGCTGGATTTACTCCATTGAATATACTGCGTTGAAAACAAGAATTAGATGGACTTGAATATAAAAATGGCTTCTTCTCCTTCTCATTTTGAAGCATGCACACTAATTGAAAAGCATTATACAAGTAGTTCTCAACTTACAACAGTTCATTTAGTGACTGTTTGAAGTTACGACAGCACTGAAAAAAACTGATTTATGACTGTTTTTCACACTTATGAAATGTTGCAGCATTCCCATGGTCACATGATCAAAATTTGGATGCTTGGCAATTGGTTCACGACAATTGCAGTGATCTCCTTGTGTGACCGTCTGACAAGCAAAGCCAATCGGGAAGCCAAATTCACTTAACAACCAGGTTACTAATTTAACTACTGCAATGATTCACTTAACAACTGTGGCAAGAAAAGTCGTAAAATGGGGCAAGACTCACTTTACAAATATCTCATTTAACAACATAATTTTTGGGCTCAATTGTGGTCATAAGCTGAACATGTATTTGTATTTTCTCCTGGTGCTTCTATTTTTGTAGTGGGTTTTTTTACCGATACCCTTTTTGACATTCTTTTGATTTACATTTATCTTTTGTTCAGTGCTGTAGATTGAAAGCATGTATGACATGAATGTCCCAAAGGTGCTTTTTCAAGAGGCATCTGGACTTTCTTGTTTTTCTTTGAAGATGTTTCAAGAAGCGAAACATTTTCAAAGAAAAGTCCACTTGCCTTTTGAAAAAGCACCTTTGGGACAACCATGACCTGGATGACTGAGAACCTCCATAGCCATTTATGACATGAAATTTTCACATGCATAACCTGTTACAATAAATGAAGAGAGCAGGGCACAGTCACCTAATAAGAGTGATGGGTAGTACAAAAATTTAATAAATAAATAAAATCCCAAAACATTGGTGATTTTGCATGTTACTTTTGGTTTTTTTAGAAGAAATGTTAGGAGAAAAGAAAACAGATAATGGAAAGAAAGGCCACCAATTAGATGAGACCTGATTGGATTCTCCCTATTAGTCCTGCATATAGGAAATGTTCATTTGATCTATGTTTCATTAATGATAGGAAATGTGGTGATTTACTATCTTGCTTATCTAACTTTATTTATATATTGGGATGTTTGCTTGGAATATAATGGGAGGACGCTTAGAACAAGTTACGAAAAGTTTCATTACTTGGATCAGATAAAGAGACTTTTAAGACAATAGGCTCTGTGTTATTAGCCAAAAATCCCCTTTGTAGGCTGCGTGTTTAGATAACTCTTTTTGCTTCTTTAATTTATTATTTAAAGACTATTGCCTTTGCTCTTCAGCCACAAGACTCCAACAGCTACTATGGTAACAAATAAATAGGTAAACAATGCAAAAGGCATGAAAAATAAGGAGAAGGAAGCAGAGGGGGAAAAGAAACAAACAAATTGCACTGATCATGTTATCTAGTTGGGTAATGAAATGTCTACAAGCAAAGCCCCTCCCCCCCAACTCAGAGACCATGAAGGATTCCACAGAATACTCACTGATTGCAGTCCAGTGTAATGGTTTCCCTCAATAATAATTGATAGCGAAAAGAGCCTGATGTTTTTTAGCATAACTTTTGGTGACCTTGTTTTTCTTCATTTGCTCTGCTCAAGTTTATCTGTATTCATTAACTACCTTTTCTACCTTTCCCCCCCCCTCTCCTCAGAAAGGTTGGGAAAATGCTTCCAGTGTCCCAGTGCTGTGATCTAAAAATGCTAGGTCTGTTAAGACATTGCAGGGAATAAATGAAAATAATTATGTCCAATGGCCTCTAGGCACTTCTTTTGGACATTGAGAGTTGTGTTTAATTTTGTTTTCTAATTGAAGGAAATAAATCAACCGAAGAGCATGTATGGTAACTTCTGGGATTCCCCCCATCTTTAGGAAGGATCATTATTTGTATAGATGCTTCACATATTAAAACAATAAATAGAACAATTTACACTTGGAATACATAAAGCCCATTGTTGAAATCCCAGAGTTCTTTCGCTGGCTCTCTGTGTGCTTCCAGTGTCCATTAAGAGAAAATGGATTGAAAAATGCTGACATGCAAACAGTCTCCTAGCTTATCTTCCTTTAGCCTTTCACTGACATGTTTTCCTTAGAGATCACACAGACACACACTGTAAAAGACTATCTTTTAAAAATGTGGATCACAAAGGAACTACTGCAGGAACAAAAAGTATGGTAGTTGAGTAGTCCTTGCATTCTGTTATTCCTTT